CTCTTATGAGAACTTTTTAGAATAATGACATAATTTTAGGTTCTTCAAAGAATAATGCTGAAGGAGTTTCTAGCTTATTTGTATCTTGACATATGGCCTCTTGGCTTCTGCATAACCTTATGTGCTGGCTTTTATATTGTTTGCTTACTTTTATATTGTTCCCTTCCCTGCAACTGCTTCACCAGTTCTTTATTTCAAGTGCTCTTCTTTGCTGTCTGTTCAGTATAGAGCATCTGCTTTTGGCTAGCAAGCACTCTGCCCTCTCTCCAGGGCCTTCTGTTGAATACCTACTCTTGATATTCTTATGTAAAAGTATGGTATGTAGAGTAAGGTAAGATAGGATTTTTGTTATTTGACTACATATACAAAAGGATCACACTGGTTTTGTACCTCCACAATTCAGGAGTTCCTCCAGAATGGAGAATCAATGTCTCTATGGCCTTTTTGGACAACGCAGTTGAATTAATCTCACTGCACTTTAGATGTCTGTGGTACAGATGTGTACATATGAGCTAGTCACTCAAGCCTGCTTTTGGAGTGAATTACAAGAGATGGGTGCTTTTAGAGTACAATTCCCCTGATCTGAGGCTTGTTTTAAGATTAGATAAAGTGCATCCAGAGGTGACTCGTAAAGCCCGTTGTCTCTAAGGGAAGTCTGAGCAGCTAAAGTGATTGTAGTCACAGATGCTGCAGATATTGCTTTGAATCAAGTGTATCACTTCCTGTGTGGCTCTGTAGCAGTACTGTTATTCTCGTAGTAGTAGTAGTCATGTTTGTGTGGGTTCATACATAAGATGTAATTTGTTTCCTGTTAAATAAAATTCCATTTGGTACTATCTTTTGTATTAAAAAAAATTTACAAAATGCAAGTTGCAAGTGAAACAACTGATTGAGGATTTCAAGTATAATAAAATTGAGACATTCAATAAGTCATAGAACGAAATTGACTTACAATAATTGTGTTCTGTAATGATGTAAGAGGATCAAGATGTAGGAGTGGGTCTTTAAAAATTAGTTAAAGCTAATCTAGGATCAAGGATGCAATCACATTATTTTATGTTGGCATGGAGAGAATTAAACTGCCTGGAGAGATTTAGACTGAATACCTTAGCTCAGCTCTGCATTTTATAGATTTCAAAGACATGTTCATTTTGTATATAAAGTAATTCTACTCCTGATTTTGGTTATGGATTGTCTTTACCTTGTTGTGAATGTACAAGTTTCATCAGGAGAAGAAAGCGCATAAACTTCCATCCCTTCAAGCAGTGTTGGCTCACTGTCCATGAGAGAGCCTTTTCCCAAGAACACTTTGCAAAAAAGAGCTGTATGCACCTAATTTCCATGAAGTAGCCAATATATCCTACTTTCCTTTCCTATAGCAGTGTAATCACAATGCTGAGGCTGACAAAGCTTCAACTGTATCATAGGTTATATGATAAGTGTTCTGGGTAATCTTTGGCAAATGATTTCACTAGGGTGTGCCACAGTTTCCTTCTAATTTGCAGAATATTGGCATTAATCTTAGAGAGCACTTGTGAGATCTGCTAATGAGCAGTGCTTCACCAGGCGCAGGTAGTGCCATTAATCATTGGATGAATAACTAGTGTATTTGTCTGGGTAGACGTATTAAGATAGGGTACAACGGCTTAAGGCAAGTCAGATTTTATACTGACAGGAACTAGGTATGTTTTTTGAATAGGAAAGAATTGCTTTCCACTAGACCTCTTAAACCAATGTGCTTTACCTCTTGACAAGGTATTGAGTCATCCACTGCCTGGAGGAAAGCACTTAAATCATTAATAAACAGTCATTTTGGCCAGTAGGAGAGGCAAGCTTCTCAGGACATCCTGTGTTGTTCCTCTGTTGGTGAAAGGTTGTCAGAGCAGAAGTGGCTCTGAGGGTAAAGTGGGGAGCAGGCTCCTTGCATATCAGGGTGTTCAGAGAGTGATGCTGATAGGTTCCAAAGGGCATCTCCTGCAGCAGGACAGATTTGTTGGGAATTCTCTTCAGGTTTAGGTCTAGCAGAAAAGCTTTCAGAAGGTATAGCAGCATAAGTCCTCTTGACTCCATCTTGTTTGCTGCTTGCCAGGTGGTGGGAATGTCAGCACATTGGGCCATTCAGATGAACCCAAAGCTATGTATTGTTTTTCCTATGTCTGAATTTACTGTACATACCTTCTTCACCTCCCACAATCCTCCATTTAGGGTGATCTTCCAAGCTTCTCCTTTCAGTAAACCACTCTTTATTCCAGTTACTCTCCATACCTCTTTTATCTTCCTGCCTGCAAACCTGTTTTGCTTCCTCCCTAGTCATGGTGCCAGTGTTTGCTGCCTTACCCTGCTCTGCTTCCCTCTTCTCCCATCTCTCCAAGACGCTTTTTCCCCCTCTTGAGGTTTTCTTGCTTTTTGAATACATTCACTTCCTGAAACAAGTCAAGAAAGCATTTGCTTTCCTTGATTGGGGAAGATGGCAGAACTGTGACAAGCCTATTGTTCTGCAAGCTGTAAGTAGTGTTTCTGGGTTTCCTGAAGATAATTAATTGGTAGAAAGTACTTCTAAAGTAACTGTGAAAAGAGATCTATCTTGAGAGAATAGTCCTGCCATTGTGCCTTGACTCTCCATTCGGTCTTTGCTTGCTGTTTTATTTTGTTTGCTGTATAATGGCCAGCCATAGTCCACCCAACATGTATCTAAATGTTACCTGTGAGGAGAATTCTGTAATTTCTTTACATGTATATGATAGTTCTAGGTCTCTGGACAGAAGAAAATACTCTCTGGACAACATTATATGGAACTATTTACTTGCTTTCTTTTTACAGAAATCAGTAGAATCTAGGTGCTTATATAATTATGTCTTTTGTTACTATGTGAAATTTAAACTGTGAGAAAGAAACCAGGGTGTCCTGGAATACTAAATAATGAGTAGGAAAAAGAATGCGTGATGAATGGAAAAATGTCTTCTAGTTGAGGATTTTATCTGATGCATTTTATGGGTTTTTTGTTTCTGCTACATATGTTTTGGATTCCCCTTCTCAAGTTACTTACAGAATAAGTGGAATTTATTGATTTATGAGATTTTTTTAAATCTTGTTTATCTGCTTAAACAGATTTATCTGCTCTTTATCTGCTTAAATGTCTCTGAAAACTTCACTCATTCTGTTTATCTAGTAATACAAGGGCAATAATGTTTCCTGACCTATGATCTTGCCTGTTTAGGTAATAATCTGTTTTGAAAGGTGTTACTTCCTATTCTGCTATGTGTTCCAGACCTTATTTGTCTTCCAGTAAGATTATATACCACCATAACAACATATCCTAGTGTTAATAATACAAACACTATGTTTTGGTTTGTTCACTGTTCAGTTCTTAAAAGCAGTTTACTTACTCTGCAAACTATATAATATTTATTGACGCTGTTTATATGAAGGACTTGTGTTTTCTTACAGTTTACTAATAATTTACAAATATTTTTGATTTATGTGATTATTTCAACCATTGTGCATTACAGATAATCTATTCAGTACTTAAAAATATTAAAAAAGTAGTTGGAACATGTGTAAAATGATCTAAAAATTGGACAACAGTTAAATTTCTGGACTACCCTGAACTTTAATTTAGCAGGAAAAAACATAAAGTCTTGTTTTGAAAGCTGACGCTAGATAAATTCAAGTAAGTGAAACTAGATACCTTCCAAATAGAGTGAGAGTAAATATTAGTTGTGACACATTGTATAGTAGTCTGAAACATTATTATGATCTTGAATTTTCGAAAATTGAAAGAGAAACCACAGGGATTTTTGTCTAAATGACTGTTTGATCTCTATTAATGCAGAATAAATGTTGTAATAGTACTTCTGTCTTAGGAATCTGTAAATTTTTGAACCCATGTAACGTTGCTCCTTTTTTATTATTGTTTAATGGAGTGTTAACCTAATTCCTGGACCTTCATCTCTAGATGAGATGGTTGAGTTCTAGTATCATGTTTTCTTAAAGCCTTTAATTCATGGATTTGCAATCACAATTGTCCTCCCTCTTTTATGGTGTTCAGTGCTGATTATAACATTTAAGTAGTGGGATTGGAAGACTGGTTGTCTTGAAATTATTTTGTAAAGTGAGTATTATAGCTAAATGATCACATCAGATCTGCAAAGTTATTTCTGCTTGAAATAGAGCACTTGTGCAAAGGAAAATACACAGCAATTGTGTTTCTGAGAGTGAGTGAGAAAACACAAAGATGCTTAGAAAAAAAGCTACTTGCAAGTATCTGTCTGTTTTTTGCAGCAAGTACTGAGAATTACAATCACCTGTCTTTTAGAGCTCTATGCTTTGCCTGAAGGGGAAGAGGGTAAGAACTACTATAAGTAGAGAAAGAGTGGTCTTTGCATGACAGTCTGGAAAATAACCTATTAAGAAGTCAAATATATATATCTATATATATCTATATATATCTATATCTATATATATATATATATATATATCTCCACATTTTATAAAATTCTTATGGAAATTATTCACTTTTAGTCACCAGATCTTGAAGGCTTTTACAAAAGGAAGTAGTATCACTTCTGAGTCCTGATGTACAATGGTGTAATGGAGATAAAAATATCATAAAAAATTACTGAGGTAGAATTTGCAATTCGCCACTATTTCTTTGTTTTCATTTAAAATTGGACATTTCTGTTAGATGCATAGAAGGGTTGGGGTCAGGCACCCGTGGAACTGGCACATGCATGCTCCAGCAGTGGGGAGTGTGTTGTTTGACCTGTGCCATATTCAATATATGGGACAGGATATTAGCAATACCACTTTGCCTCCTCACTTTTTCTAGTAAGCATTTCAGTTATCTTCTCTCTCTTTTTCATTTTAGCACAAGTAAAGATTGTATTAGTTACAGGTTTCAGGGATATTAGCGTTGGGTGTAAATACCTGCTTCTGAGTGTTTTTTTGTGTTACATTGGCATTCAAAACAGGTAACTTTGTTTTTCTATTATTTCCCATAGGGTGCAGCTCTGATTCGAATGTTGGCTAACTTTATGGGTCACTCTGTGTTTCAAATGGGCTTACAAGTAAGTAAAGGCATTACCATCTTTGTGTAGATGTGTCTTTCTAGGAGTTTCTCTTGCTCTTTCTTTTTTCTTTTGAAGCTATATTTGCATAAATCTGTGTAAATGTTTCTTTACTTTAGGACCATCTGAGGTACTACTATGTCCCTGAAGCTGAATTTGATTGAAGATGCAGTTTCACCTATCTTTCTTGGTGTATGAAGTGATTGCACTTTAACTGTCATACAGTTTCATGTAGAGTACCACATAAAAGCCACTTTATCCATGTGACAACTATGTGAAGGACTAGCTTAGGAAGTAGCTACTTCTCTTCACCTGCATTTGGTTGCTGGTTTAACAAATAATGGTATAAGCCAGCTGGAAAATAAACAGCCGTAAAACAAATAATGCTTTTCAGATAAATATATTTGCCATCCCTTCTTCCATAGCAAAATCCTTGAGCTGTATTTTTACCTTTAATAAGCATGGAGTGCTCTCTGCCTTAACAATGTTTTGAAAACTCACTCTGTCTTTTAAAAGAAATTTAAAGAGGTAACATTGCTATACAAAGAGAAAGAAATTCAACATGCTGATTACCAAGGATGAACTCCTTTCAGCAATAATTCAGCACAAATGAGTGTTTCGTAAACTATTTAAAAACAAACAAGCCAAAGCATAAAAAACAATGCAATTCCCTCTATTCCATTGAAATCTGCTTGAGTAAATCATGTTACAGGCAGCTGTGATTGATGAATAATGTATGATGCAGCTTGCTACTTAGAAGTGTCCTTTAAAGTAAATTGATGTTCACCTGAAATACAATTATGCTAAGTTGGAAGGAGCAATCAATCTTATCTGTTCTTAGTAAGCTTTTCATTTTGAAATTTAAATAAACTACATCTAGGATCAGGTCATTTTTTAACAGAATAATTCTGCCTCTAAACAAAATAAATTGGAAGATAAAATATAAAACAAAAATTAAATGAATGCATTGGTCATGTCAGAGAGGTGTTTCCCGTGCAAAGGCAATGAAAGGAAACTTGCTGAGGAAATGCAGCTTTTTGGAGAGTTTACGGTACAGTCAGGGTTTGTAGCATAACTTACTCATGGGACCTCGCTTGATCATTTGCTTAGTTGTAACACTAGGTCAGATCAATCAGATAGATTTCACATCCAGATGAGAACTCTTTAAATCAGAAGTTTCCTTCATAAAATCTTGCGTATGTCAAGGGTAAAACCATCATGTCATTTGAGACAGTAAGACTTCTGTCCTTAGTCCAGCAAACTCCATATTCCAGCCAGAAACTTTTGTCTGGACAGATCCATTCATAGAGGAATTCAGTAGCACTTTTTCCCAGTGGAGTGTGTCACTCAGGGTTTTAGAAAGGCAAAGTTTTAGTGTGTACATCTTAAACCCTGTTTTTCTGTTTTCTTCTATATTTGCCTGAGAAATAACAGTGTGCAAGTTGTCCTGAAATAGACTGAGGAAAAAGTTCAGATCAAAGAATAGCTATGCAGGGATTAATCATAATTACCATAAAGTTGTAATGGAGCTTTGGGTTTTGATTTGAATGGTTTCCTATTATTTCTGCTTTTCAATGGTTTGGCTCTAAATAGAAACCATTCTGTTTGCTAATGAAAGTCTATGAAAAATCTAACTGTGAAAATCTGACTAGTGCAAGTCTTGGCATCAGTTCAGTATGAAGATGATGATTTGAACTAAAACCAGTTTGAAATCCAGATAGAGATTTTCCATGTGTATGTCTTCAAGCTGAACAAAATAAAACATAAAGTTAATAAATTTTTCATAAGTTACAAATTATACAGTTGGAAATATCTGTCAATCATTTAATTCTTTGTGTTTTGCAAATCTAACAAAATGCTGTTTCTGCAGTGTACGTTTGGGAGGCTATAGCTTTGCTAATGATGAGGGAAACTGGAGGAGTAGTTTACCCTGTCATGCACTGGTTTAGGCATTTTAGCTTTTGAGCTTGGTACCATCACTTGGGTTTTTGAATTACGTTGCCTTGCATCCTGTTTTAATATGGAATTCTGATATTCAACTAAATGTCCTTTTTACAGAGTAGCAAAATTAAATATTACTACTGTTTATAAATCTCTACAAATAACAGATATTCTGAAAATGCACTTGATGGTTCATTCTTCCTCTGTTATTCTGATGGCTTGCTGAATAACTGAGTTCTAGGAGATCTCCACAGCCAGTTTTTCCAGGAGAATGCTGTGGGAAATGGTGTCAAAGGCTTTAGTAAAGTCTAGGTAGGCAAAATCCACAGCCTTTCAGTCATCCACAAAGTAGGTCATAGCAGGGGGTCGGGCTGGTCAAACAGGACTTTTCTTACAGCGTTCTGGCTGGGCCTGACGCCTGGTTGTATATTTAGCAATGGATGGAGATTCTCAGCCCTCCTGCTGTTGCTAATGTATTTCTAGAAACATTTTTTATTATATTTTACAGCAGTGTCGTGTCTAGATAAAGTTCTACTTTGACTTTTCAAGTTTTCTGCCCACATAACCTCACAATGCCCTTGTACTTCTCCTGAGTTGCTTGCCCCTTCTTCCAAGGGTCATAAACTTGTTTTTGTTATCTGAGCTCCAGACAAAGCTCTCTGTGCTGCCAGGCTGGTGGTCTTCCCCACTGGCTTGTCTTTCAGCACATGGGGATGGCCAGCTCCAGCACCTTCAAGATTTCTTAAATATGTTCAGTCTTCCTGGATTTCTTTACTCTTCAGGCAAAAGCCCAAGGGGCTCTCTCAATGAATGTCATAAACAGGCTGAGGTGGCAGTTCTGCTGACCCCTCTCCTTATTCCTCCAAGAATTCAAAACTCTGTAATTTCATAATTGCTGAGCCCAAGACACCCTCCAATCATCACATCACCCACAACCCTTTGTTCAGAAACAAGAGGTCCAGCAGGGCAGCTTTTTCAGTTGTCTTGCTCACCAGCTGTGTCTAGAAGTTAACTTCCACACACTCCAGGAACTTTCTATACTATTACCCCTCCACTCTGTTATATTTCCAGTATTATTTCAATTATTTTTAGTGTATTTGCTATGTCGCTAAGTGTTTAATGCATGATAAACAGGAGTAGTTCTGAAGTCTTATTAAAATAGCATAAACTGAAATGAGTGGTTCTTTATTTGTGTTTGAATTGTTTGTGGTTTCATCAAAAGCAAGGCATGATTCATCATCTTATTATGAGCTAAAGAATTAGAGCTTTTATATAGGAGACCCTACAACAGATAAGGTAACCTTTAGGTTAAGGAGAGGAAAAAGCAAGGCTTAGAGCTAGAAACAAATGGGATTGCTACCTTTTTTGTTAATTGTTTTTTCTTACTCATCTGCCATGTGGACTTTTTGAAGAGCAGGTTGAGAGAGCTTGGGGGTGAAAAATCCCTTATTTATCAAAGAAAACAACTGTATTAAAAAGAAAAGTTGATGGAGGAGAATGAGGCTCTTTGGTGAATAGTCTTTGTCAGTAGATATGAAGGAAATTTCTGAAGGAAATGTACAAATGTGCATGTGATCTGTAACAATTCAGCAAGCTGTTCTGTTATAGAGTCTTCAAGGAAGTAAAATTCTGGTAGAAATGCTTGTTTTTACAGTGTAGATATGTTTGTAGAGATTCATATCTGTCAAGAATAGCTGGCCTATTCCTATGATGGTAAATATACTTGAAAGACCATTTGATTATAGTGTGGCAGTTCCACAATAAAGCTGCATCCAAGAGACTAGTGAAGGCGTGATTTTTGAAAAGCCCTTCAAAGATATGATGTCTTGAATCATATGACATTTCAAACAGGAGATTTAGTTACAGACAGAACATTCTCACCGTAGCACTCCATGGACAAAAGCAAAAGAGAATGCATTTCTGTTGGCTCTAATGAATAATGACAGTAGTAGCCACAGCTGCTAACACCTGTATATTTAGTTTATTTATTTATTTATTATTTTATTATTAACAGAAAGTTACAGCTATTATTTTTGTAGAAAATGTCTAATAAAGCCTTCCTTCTCACAGTAGGTGATTTCTGTAGTTTTAAAAGTTCTGGCATCTTTCATGATGTGCAGTTCCTTATGCTCCAGGAAAAGTCAAGAAGTGCACATGACTGAATGCCAGCACTCTTCTTATCAAATGCTGTTGCTCTTTAATCAAAAAGGTATTAATCAGGTAATGTGGTCAGAGTATGAAGAGGTTTGGTCAGCACCACTTGCTCTGGTTATGTTTCTGAACTGCACATATTGATAGAGGTAGAAGCTATAAGTTGGCCTTAACATTCAGTCATCACTCAGGGTAGTAATGTGCAATACAATATACTAGGTCTGTGTGAGATTTTATTCTGTAGGCTGTTGCTCCAACTCTGTCCTTGAAATAGATGGTTTCTTACATGTCTTGTGTCCCTGGATTGCATTTTTGGGGAGATTTTACTGCTTTATGACAATGAATCTCTTCAAGTAATCAGTTCTTGGTTTTTATTTTTTTCAAATTAAATAGAGAGAGAAGTATCAGTGATTGGAATGTTTGGTAGATATGTTTAAAAAGGCACCTCCAGTGCTGTAATGAGATATCTCTGCTCTGGTTTATTTAAGTTTTCTTATATTTGGTTTGATTATTTTGGAGCCTCATCTCTATTACTGTACATTTGTCAACACTGCATTTCATTTGCTGTGTGACAGCTCATTGATCACATAGATCTGTATCCTTTTGAACTTCACTTGCTGCTGTGTATGTGTTCATCACTCACTCTGATTTAGTGCATCATCAGCAGTTTGAATTAGTTACCGTAGGAATCTCTGCTTCTGTGATAAATTAACTACTTTTTAGGCTTCACATTGTACATTTGGAAGAATTTTCATACAGTGCTGTGGATATACACTGTCTCTTTTGGTTCTGTAGAGTGGCCACTGTATTGAAACAAATTAGTCAGCCTTTCATAGGAGCTGTCTGGGGAGGTGTGGTGTTCAGGCTATTAAATACAGCAAGGTTCAGATTTCAGTCACTTCCTAGGA